CGATTAACCAGTCTAAAGGTAATAATCGAAGCACATATTTGTTGGGTCAAATTATTAGAAGGGTAGCTTTAATAAGACAGCTGTTACAACAACAACAATAATAATAATAATATAACATTTGAAACACATTTTCATTTGGGGCTGAATGTTTACCAAATGCAGCAGGTAATTTTGCAGATTGCCTGATAACACAAAACATATTTCGTGAATTAATCACTGTAGTTGTGAACCATATTGGAAAATCTAACACTAACATGAAGCCAAACATGAGTCTAACTTATGTTTCGCTCTATTTCCAATTGTTTTTTGTTGTTGTTCTTTTTTTATTATTATTTTTAAACTTGGAGCCTTTGGTTTTAATAGATCTCTTGATGGTCCATTGCTGAAAATATGAATAATAATATAAATAAATATAATATAAAAAAATGTTTTTACAAAAAATTAAGAATACCATTTGCGATTTGCTGCAGTGGAAATCCAGATTGATCTGTAGGCGCCATAGTAAAATGATCCTCCAAATAGGCCTACATCTTGTAAAAGCCGGTGCCTTAATTAGGACGGAGGTATTTGTTTCATTTCTTATATTTGAGTTGGATATGATTAAAAAATTAGAAAAAAAATTGATAGAATTTTCCCCTTCGGGCCACTTAAGGCTTGGAAGCTTCCCCTTCTCCTTCACCTCCTTTGCTTCTTTACGCATCAGCTGTCGTGCACACTTCCTTTGACTAGTCCACAAAGAGAAACAGAGCGACAGACGCAGGAAGTGCTGCCTCTACCACGCGTTCCACGGCCCACAGTTAAAAAACACGGAGGCATGTTGTGCAGAGGGAAGCAGAATCCCGGTGCGGATGCTTTGCAGAAGAAGGCACTGCCGGGTGTCGTAAAAAACAGCAAAGAGGAAGAAGGAAAATAAGGCGATGGGAGAGAGGGAGAGAGGGGATTCCACTCGCAGAGAGGCGCAATAAAAGAATATGACGGCAATAAAAGTTTATAGCGTATAAATTTCTGAAGGTTAAGAACTAAACGGCTGTAAAACAAACACGCCGTGAGGAATAAAGGAGTGAGACGAGAAAACCTACGTAGATAAAAGAAACAGAAAAGTTTCTGAAGCCCCCTGTTCTCAAGCTCCCATCGGATGATAGAGCGGCAAAGGACAGAGTCAGTGACAAAATGAGAAGAATAAACGCAATGCTGCCGGAATGGAAAAGCCTGGACATTCAGGGAAGTAAGCCACAAATTTATGTGTGATGAGAGAGGAAAAAATGAGCCCTGCTGCAGCGGGAGAGCAGGAGAAGCATCCTTCCTTCACTTCCTCCTCTTTTGGTGGTTTTAGTGGTCCACCAGGGTACGGGTGCTCTGTCCTTGTGTGTGTGTGTGTGTGTGGGGGGGGGAGGGGGGGGTTCTCCTCTCTCGACCGCCTTTTGTCTCCCTCTCTTTGCATGCTAACAGCAGGCGCCATTAACTTCCACATCCAAACACATGATTTCAGCAGCCAAAGGAAGCGCTGCACGGTCAGGCCGGTTCTGGTCCGGAGCTTCTTATCCGGCTTTTAATGGACAGTTTGACCAGGCTGCTCTCATCCACTGAATCTACTGACACAAATAGAGAACCCGGCTGTCATTGCACCATCTTACCTATTATGCTGTGATTATAATGCATTTTGTAGGTTTTTGAGATAAACATTGACTTACAGAATTTGAGGCCTTTAAATATGTGATGTGTATGTGTGTGAGTGAGTGTTTTCTTATATGTGTCGTTGTAGAGATTGTGTAGCTGGGAGTTTCCATGGAAGTTAAAGCAAAGGTGCGTGCTGTATTCCCTTCAGAATTACTGCCTTTATTTTAACATTTCACACACACACACACACACACACACACACACACACACACACACACACACACACACACACACACACACACACACACACACACACACACACACACACACACACACACATCTAGTATTGTTTCTCTGATATAACTGACATACTGAGAGGCTGATTCCTTTTTTACACATATATTTTATAAAGATTTACAATTTAGTGTTTGGGGGTGATGTGAGATCTGATTTTACTATTTCATCTATACCTTGTTTTTGTCATTTGTTTACGGTGCCACTGCTTTTTAGATTACCAGCAGCAAACATGAGGCTTCTGACGATACGGCATTAAACAATTTCAATTCACAACGTCTTCTATTGGCCATAGAATTAAATGTAGGCATATCACATTTTTTTCTTTCTTACTGTAATTTACGTTTTTATTTTTAGACTGTCTGGTTGCCTGAATCTGGCCCGTGTAGAAACCAGTTGATGTATCACCACATTGGGACTCAGGAGCAGCACAGAACCACATGATGGTTTATCATCGTTATGTCATTGCTATATTCGGCCGCTTGGTGGGGATCTTGCTCCACTGATAGAGTAGTTCTTGATTTCAACGTTAACTTCCTCCCTGGGTTGTGCTTGTCGGATTTCGGGAATAACTCAGCCTGATTTTGTTTTCATTGCGACAAAGTTTATTTAATGTTACTTCATCAGACGTTGTGAGCTCGTCAGCGTTTATCTTACAAGTTTGCTTCTCAGCAACCTGAAGCATTCTCATGTCATTTCACCCCGTGGAGAGTTATAAAAAATGGGGCCTCGGATAATAATCCAAGGTGTAATCAGGAACTTTAGACTATGTGGACCTTTAAATTAGAAAATAAACATACTAAGACTTAATGCACCTTTGCAATTCCTAGGACATTCTTGATTTGGACGTGTTCACCATGCGCGCGCATGTGGACTGGTTTGTAAAAAAAAAAAACAATTGGAAGATAGGGAGCGCAGAAGCTTTTTTATATTTATTTATATGCATCGAACTTTTTATTTAGGCTTCATCCAGTGGAGAGATTAGCAACGAAATGTCGCGAAATGTGACTTTTTTGATTCAAATACAGACGCGTAAATTTACTGACTTTCTAAACTGTAGCTGTTTGTCGGGTCTCGGCAAAACGGTCTTAGATAACTTAGATATGTTTTAATGGTCTTAGATAAGAAAAATGGTAAGGACAATAGTCAGGTAAACTCTGTGTGAAGTAAAGTAACTATGTTGTGCGCCAAGCTCCCATCTCATTATATAAACAATTTTTTCAAGCCAACTCTTTATTGCACTAGTAAAACACGGCGC